TTCTCCCTAGCATCTTCCAGATGGGGAAATGGAGGCACAACCACACTCAGTGTGGTTGCAGACTTGCAGGATCCCAAGGGGCCTTCTGGGCAGGGTCTCCAGATGAAGTGAGGGGGAAAGGCCATCTGGACTTCCCCAAACATAGTTGCATTGTATGGGGCAAGGGAGGATATGGGAATGAACTGTGGTCCAGACTGCGGTATCTGAAGGGGGCACCAGGGAAGAACGGGAGGGTGGTAGCAAGGATGCACCTTCTTCTGAGCACCCACACATGAAGGGGCCCCCAAAAAGCTGCAGCTTTGCTCAGTAGCCTGTTAGAATGACTCACCACTCTTTCCTGAGACATTTGCCTCACCCATTACCTCTGGAGTAAGAGGCAGCCTAGATCTAGTCTACACGGTCAGACACCAAAGAGTTAACTCTGATTATGTTGCCTGGCTTATTATGTTTTCCTCCAGTGCTTTTCTGTTATTTCCAAATTCTGTGCAGGGAACAGTTATGACATTTATAACCAAACAAAATGTTAACCATTTTTAATTATTAAAAAGAAGCAGCAACTGGAATGTGGTGATGAGCCCTGGGCTTGGAGTTGAGGAGCCCAGGTCAAGCACACTCTCTCACTTGCCGTGTGTCACCTAGGACAAGTGACTTCACCTCTTTGAATCCTAGTTTTCTATAAAATGGACATAACCCCACAGGGTTAGCATAAGATTGAAAGAGATGATGTAGGTGAAAATGGTTTTTAAAAAATGTTTGTGGAACTTTTCAAACATATACACAAGTAAACACAATGAAGAAGGCCATGTATCCATCTCATTTTATCTAGATTCCCACCCACTTAACCCTATCCCCACCAGAATATTTTAAAACAAACCTGAGACATGCTCTTTTTTCCCATAAATACTTCCTTATTGATCTGCTTTTTACATTTTTCATAATTAAAAAATAATACATAATGATTGTAAAAAACTGAAAAATTATGAAATCTTGTATAAAGGAGAAAACGAATCACCCCCACCTCCCAGAGACAACCATGTTTTGGAGTAGCCTATTATTTATTCCATGCACATACAGATATACACTTATACACATAAGTGGGATCCTACTGTATGTGCCATTTGTAGGTATCATTTTATTTTAATTATAAAAGTAATAAAATCATATTATGGAAAATTACCCATAATCCTTTACCACCTAATATAAAAACTTAATATTTTCATATATCTCCTTCTCACTTTCTTTAATTTACATACATAGTTTTAACACAAGTGGGATCATACTGATTATCCACTTTCCAAATTATGAATCTGTTTTAATTGTAAGAAAATAATATAATCATGTTGCAGAAAAATAAAGAAGAGGAAAAGAAAAATAGCACCATAATCCCACTATTCAATTATAATCACTGTTATCATTTTGGTGTATTTACTCCCAATATTTCTTCCTCGCACATACAATTTTAACAAAAGTGGGGGCATACTGTTTATGCAGTTCATTAACTATAAACTTATATTTAATTATAAGAATAATATTGTATGTCATGGAGAAAAGAGAGAAAAAAATCACTCATAATCCTACCACCCCACTGACTATGTTGTTGGTTTTCCTGACCATCGCTTCATTACCCATATTCATACAGGGCTGGAAACGTACCCTTTAATATTCTATTCTTTGTGCCCTTTGCAACTTGGCATCATCATATTTATGCAACTTTGTACCCAGAGTTTCTTAGTTTAATGTTTTGTAGTGAACATGTTCCCATAAATGAGTTGGAAATCTGTTGGTTTGGTTTGTTCTGGGTTTTGTTTTGGTTTTTTGTTTTTTGTTTTTTTTTTTTTTTTGAAGTGTCAAGGTCCCAAGGGACACTTCCTCACCCTGGACATTTAGATTGCTTTCTATTTTTCACTATCATAAACAACTCTGCTCCAAACATTCTTGAGCAAAGACTTATGCTTTTTAGCTTTTTTAACACACATATTGAGTATATGTTTCTGGAGACTATTCTGGATGTTTACGGCTGTCCGGAAAAGAAGTGATCATCTTGGATTGGTCCCTAACTTACTCCTGTCACGTGGCTTAGACAGCCCTTGGTTTTGGAGGGCAGGATTTTGAGAGCAAATCTGCGTTTTCCTCTCCCTCCCCTTCCTGAGTTTATAGACCTCCTTCACCTCCTCTCAGGCTGTTTTTTTTTTTTAATTAATCATTCAGCAAGTATTATTGAATCTGAAGTGTGTGAGCTGAGGCAGGGCTAGGGGGCAAAAGACAAAGAATCAGAAGGCACAAAGGAGCACTTTTTGACCGCTTACTACACAGCAGGCACCAAACAGGCTAACTCCACAGAGTCACTACCCTTGTTCCCCATTTAGCAGATGGGAAAACTAAGGCCCTAACAATGAAGCCACGTGGTAAGATCACACAGCTAGTAAATAATAAAGTAGGGATTTAAACCCAGGCGGACTGACCCCTGAACCTGTACTCTGGACACAGCCTAGATGCTTCCTTACCCTCCCAGGCAGCAAAGTGTAGGGGTGAGGGTATAGACTTTGCAGTCAGCTTAACCGGATTCAAACACCCGCCTCCTGGCTGTGTGAACCTGGGCAAATCTCTGCGACTGCGTTTCGCCTTTGGTAAACCCTGCGTCACAGGTGGGAATTAAATGAGATGATGAATGGAAACGTGCCAGGCCCAATGCCGGTGCACAGAAAGTTCTTGCCGGGTGACCATCTTCGTCCTCTACTTGCTACGCGAGCTCGAAGTCTAGTTGCCAAGTTGGAGAGAAGAGTTCAGCGGAGAGCTCTGAGCTCGGCTGGAGCCGACTAGGAAGTCAGAGATCCGGGGCTTATTTGCAGAGAAATGCAAATGTCTCCTTTGCTCTCTCCCAGCCTCTGCAACTAACCTCCTCTCCCATCTCCCCCCAAGAGAAAGGGGTGGCTTTTGTGCTCCAGAGCTGAGCCCTTTGAAGCCCCTCTTTCCTGCTCGCCGGGAGGTGGACAGTAGAGATGACAGGAAGTCACCAGTGGGAAGACCCTTTCTGGCATGTGGGCACAGAAATGGGGCGGAGGGCGCTCTTTTTTCTGCCCTTCAATGGTCCGGATGGGGGAGGGGATGGCTGTTGAGCAACTGCTCCGGAGACACTCCAGAAGCCCAGATGAACATATGCCTCTTTCTAACAATTGGCCTGGGAGCCATCCAATAGATGGAGGGCGGATTCGCCACCTCCCGGATCCGGAGCCTGCAACGAAGACGCTGCCGCCGGTTCTAGATCTGCTCCCCAGCGGGGGCTGAGGGAGAGGATAGGTTGGAGGTCCAAAGTAGCAACACGCCATTTAAACACCCTGGGTCTCTCCCCTCAGGCAAACACGGAGAAAGCTTGAGGGTGTCTTATATAGGCAAACTCTATAGGGTTTTATGGTCCCGAAAGATCCCGCCTTTTATCATAGGGAAACTGGGTACGACCCACGATCTCTGGGTAAAGTGAAAAGTGCAGCAATGGTGTGGTTGTTACGGGGGTTTGTGTTGGGGTTGGGTGAGTGGAAGGAATGGAGACATGCAAGGCTGGGGAATTGGTTTACCTGGAGTCCAGAGAACTCGCCCCAGCTTCCTCCAGGTGTCAAAGAAGGGCCTTGACCTATCCCTCTGTTTGCTGCCCATCTTTGTGTCAGTAAGCAGTTCAGTCTGTCAGCAAACAGAACTTTGTTCGAAGAGCAAATGCAAGGCACTTGGGGATTAAATAAAGGAAAGGAAAGAAAGGGGGGAGGAAAGGACCTTTAGGTCTTCAATTCCAATTAAGAAGACAGAACACATACATAGTGAATATGCCTTGGTGACATTCCCCCCCCCTTTTTCATAACATTGGGACTTGTTTTAAAAGCATGTTTTATAAACAGTGTAAACTGAGTCGTTGTTGCTTAAAGGGGCCAAAAAAAGGAATGTGGTAGAGGGGTAATCTTGGTGGCCTTCCTGTAAGAGGTGAGACAGAGCTTCTTGGCTACAAGGAACACGAACTGAGATGAAGAAGAAGGCTGGACCTCTTTCCTATAAAGATTTGTAAGATAACATCCCAACGTGGGAACGGTGTGCTCCGAGTGCGAAATATTCTTGCTAGATGTGAAGGATTGTATAATCATAATAAAATAACCTGTCATAGTGGGAAGGCAGGAGGAATCCCTGGGAGCCCAAAGACAAGCTGTTCCTCCCCTACTTCCTGGTCTTTTTGGCCTGCCTCGTGAGTTGCACCTGGTTCTCGAGGGCAGCATATTTCTGCGTCTCATCCTGCCAGCCTCCGTCTGCCCTGGATAACCACAAGAGAGAATACCTGAAACCCAACCCGGCTCAGGCCTTCGAGGGAAGTCACCGCTGCCGGCACATAGGCCCTCGATGAGGCTCTGTCTGGAATCTGGGGACTTTAAGGGGAACGGGGACCCCAGGCTCGTCCCTCCAGCAAGGGAAATGGTGCAGCCCAAAGGGGCAGACAGGCTCCGAGAAAGGCGTGCAGAGAACCCAAATCGTACCCCCTCTCTGGCACCGTCCCTTGTGCGCCCCCTGCTCGAGGTCAATCCCTGAGTTCATAGCTCTCCCCCCAACCCCTCTGAAGCCCTCTCAGGTCACCCGTTAGATTTAGGTCAGAAAACATACACTAACGGCTTTCCTTCGCCTCAGCGAAATTACTAAGTGGAATTTATTGGGCAAGTCCATGAAGGGCAGTAGGGAGAGACTACGTCCCAGGTCCGGGGTCCCGCCAGTTTTAGAAGCACAGGCGTTGCCCAGGGGCTCAGGGTTCGGGGTGCCCATGGCCTGGGCCCGCCAGCCCCATCCCGAGAGCCGTGGCCCGTCCTCTGCGCTGCCGGACCCGCGGAGCCGCTCGGACTCCGTTCCCCAGCCGGCCCTTCGCTTTCACACGATCCGCGGCGACTGCACCAGCTCGAGCGCCTTTAAAGGGCCACACACGCTAGCCGCCGCTATAAAATGTTCCCAGCGGCACAGCTGCAGAAGGGATACGGGTGAGCTGCCCAAGAGGAGGCTCACTCTTCGCCCGGCAGTCAGCCCGCAGCCCTCAGACTAAGGCTCATTCCTGACGAGGAGGGAGAAGGCTAAGGAAGGCACAGCACCCGCTCTGGCCCTGCGTGAGTATCCAGTTCAGATTTTGCCACCAACTCGCCCACGAGCCAGGACATGTGCTAATAATGCCCTAAGCCGGTTATAAAGACGTGGAAATTGAGGGGGAGAGGAAAAAAAGGGGGAAAAGGGTCTGTCCTTCCTGGGATTCCTTGCCGAGGCCAGCCTGCTGCCGTGTGCGTGTGCGTCAGGGCTCTCCGGGCGGCAATGGGGGCTTGAGAGCCGGGTCCCCCGCGCCGGGAAGGGAGCGCGGCGGCCACCGCTGCCACCGCCCCGGAGTCAGGCGCCGAAGCCGCGGGCCGGCGGGCGGGCGGGCGCGGGCCGGGGCCGCTTGGCGCGGCACGGTGCGGCGCGGCGGCGGCGCGGCGGTGCGGGCTTTTCCCAGGCGCCCCGGGGTCGGGTGGCACTGAGCGCGACCGGTTCGCGGCGGCGGCGGCGGTGGCGGCGTGCGTGCGTGCCAGGGGCTGGGGGCTTTGCCGTTTCGCCCGCGGCTCACCGGGCTCCGCGCTTCCCTCTCCAGGGCAGGAGGCTTCGCTGAGGTAAGCCGGGCCGCCCGGTAGGGCGCTGGGCTGGGCGGAGGGGCCAAGGACTCCAGCGGAGCGGGCTTGAGGAGCGGGCGGCGGCCGCGCGGGCCGGGGGGCTCTTGGGGAGTTGTTTTCTGTTTGAAAAGCTGCTCTGCTGGGGGTGGAGGGGCCACCGCCCGCCTGCCCGCCAGTGAGCCGGTTCGCTCTCCAGCGCTCCCGCCTCCCGGCCAGCCGCGCCAGGCGCCCGCTTCTCCCGGGGAGACGGCAGTACCTTTTCTCCCCGCGCCCGCGCTTTCTCCAGCTTGGCGTCCACGGACTTTGCTAATCTCCCGGACCGCATCTGGACGCTCCGGCTCCGGGGCTGCACAAAGCTCAGGTTTCCTTTGGTGGCTGAAGGCGAGGGGGGCTTTTCGGGCCGCGTTTGGGGGAATTGCGGGATGGAAGTTAGCGAAATTGGGCAACTTGCCTCTACTATCTAGTTGACCTCTACTCTCCCCCACATGCACGCCCACACAGGCACGCACACCCGCGCACACACCCCTCTCCTTATAAAACAGCGCAGCGGGGCCCGGCCGCTCTTGGAGTCTCTGCCTCACAGAGCGCTGGACTTGGAGTCAGAAAGACGTGGCTGCGAATTCCGGCTCCGGCACTTTCTAGCGCTGTGACCTTGGGCAAGTTACCGAACCTCTCGGAGCCTATCTCACTCTTCTGGTAGTGGGGTTAGAGCACTGACCACAGGCGGCCCGGCTAAGGGGTAGGCTCAGCCTGCGGCCGCCTCAGATGCTCTGCGGGACTCAGTGAGTGTTGGTGAGGCTCAGGAGTGGCCGCCGCTGGAGCCTGAGTGCGCCCCCGCGCGCGGCCACACCGTGGGGCCAAGACCCCGCTCTCCTGCCCGCCTGTTCGTGCGGTCTCAACGATCGGTTACTGACACAGCACTTGCGGGAACGGACGCTCGGAGCCCTGGTGGCCTGGGTGCTCGCGCCTCTCGTGCAGGGATGCTCCAGGCCGCCCCCAGCTCTGGCGGCTCCACCTGGGATACGGCAAGGAGGGCAGCCGAGCTGTTCGCAAACAACGGGCCTTTAGTTTTCAGGTGGCGAAACTGACTAGTCTGGGTTAGAGCGCGTCCGAGCCAAGCCGCAGTACTGTTTGGATTTTTAAATTTCTCCTGAGTGAGAAAATAGCAATCGGGATGGAGCCATCCGGTTGGTGCTATTTTAACTTTTGGTTCCCCAACAGGTCAAAGAGGAGGCCCCCTTACCTGCTTCTCCCTTCTTTCTTCTTCCTCTTCCCTCCCCATCCTCATCTAGGCGGGAGGGGGCCGCCGGGCCACGGGAAGGTCTGAAGAAAAGGTTGGGCGGGAACTGGTAGCCAGCCCGCGAGGCACCAGTGTGTGAGGAGGCACTTGTTGCACTGGGTTGCCCAGTCGCCTCTCGCAGCCGTATCACAGTGGTCAGCTCTTGGCTTGGAGAACAGTCTGGGACGTTTCCGAGCTGCCAAGTTTTGCCCTCCATCGGGCTGGGTGGCGGAGTGGAGACAGAAAATCGGGCAAGTAGGGGCAGGGATTCCGATCGAAACGCGATTGCCTTCTTCAGACAGATTCAGCAACACTTACTGAGAGCCCACCGGCAAAGACCCAGGCGGGGCTTAGCCAGGTGTCGGGGGAGGGGACCGGTGATGGGAGGCAACAGATCTGAATGAAAACAGGGTCCTGTTTACGGGGCGCTCCCAGCGTGAAGGGGGGAGATGTGGTAAAAAAAAAAAAAAAAAAAGGTCTTCCCCAGGAACTGATATTAAAACAGATACTTTTTTTCTATCTTTTTACCCTCCCCTTTTTGTTATTGTTGCTGCTAGTGTTAATTTCTTTTTTTGTACATTTGGATGCCTGGCGGCATAAAGAAGGAAGGGAAGGAAGGCTGCATAAGAGTGGGGAAAGATGGGCAGAGCCCCTCAACCTTTTTCTTAGGTGAAAATTGCTTGATGGTGAAGGTGCTGGGCTCTGGAAGACACATGGATTAGACTCCTTGTCTTGTGATCACTGGCTTGAAATGTTACCGGGTTACCTCAGAAAAGAAACAGGGCTCCAACCAAGCAGTGGTGGTGGCGACCCAGCAACTGATATTTTTTCTCATGTTTTTTCCCTCACTTCTTCCTTTCTCTATTTTTCTTGCCTCCCTCTCCTACAAGTGGTGCGAAGACGATAAAGAGAGGTAATAAGTGGCCACTTTATAGAAGTGTCTGAACAGATTCTTAATGACCACTGGAGGAGGGATGTGTCAAGGAGAATTCTAGCCTTGTTGGAAAGATTAGAGATGCTTTTTAAGTTGCTGAAGAATCTTTTGGGCAAAATGTATTTATAAATATGAAATTCGACATCTCTAATTCATCACAAAGGCTAGAATATATGAGGCTTTAAAAAACAAGCTGCTAGGAAAATATCTTGAGAGTTTTCAGGTGAGGAGATTTTTTATTTTCTCAGTTGGGGGGTTCTTTTCCCCTCACCCCCTCATCCTTTGGCACTTGAGCTAGGGAATTATTTCTTTGGAAACCAGTTGATCATTCCAGGTATGATTCTGTTGTCAGGCAAGGCCTGTGGGCATAAGAGTGCTAGATCCTGTTCCCAGAACCCTGCTACTTGATAGGAAAGCCATTGAATCACAGTGCTTGTTTCTCTCTGGGAAGAATTATTCGCATCTGTCATTATAGATGGGTGTGGCTGGGCTCAGACCAGCTTCCCCAGGGCTATCTTGGAGGAGGCTTGAGGCAGGGGAGGAAGTGGAGACATTCCTCAAGGCTCTTTGGCTGGGTCAGAGCCCCTGGCCTACCATGAACAGCCTGGCTTGTCTCAGGCCCACACCTGAGTCAGGACTTTGGAGCTCCATGGTATTTGCTTTGGGGACTTATCCCTTCCCTAGGCTGCAGCTTCCTGCTCTCTAGATCTTCCTTGCCCTGACTCCTTCCCACTTTCTCCCAATCTGAGTGGAGTCTCCAGCTCTCCAACCCAGAAGCCAGTGGCCCATGGAGAAAGTTGTGCTACTTAGGCAGGGACATTTCTGCCTTCAGAATCAGGAACAGTACCATCCCACCCCCCACACACACTTGGGGCTCTGAAATCACTAGCATGAGGAAACAGTTGTCGTGTACCCTCTTGGTGATGTGGGTATCTGGCTACCTGGGCAGCACCTGGCCGAACCAAGCACTTTTCCTGCCTCAGGCAAACAAAGTTCCAGCTTAAGCCCCTCCCTTGCTCAAGTGTTCTGTGGTCTTGTGTCTAACCCTGTTACCATCCTTGCCTTGTAGCCTGTGGAAGTGCTCCGCTTCGGGCTTTGTCAGTGCTTTCTTCGTGAGTGAGGCCTTTACCTTTACCTCTTCTTCCTCATATTACAGCACAACAGCTCCAGCTGGCAGCATCACCTTCCACCAGTTTATCCAACTTCTGTCAAGGCTCTGAAATGCCAACGATGTCGAGACCTGCACTTGATGTCAAAGGTGGCACCTCACCTGTGAAGGAGGTAATTTTTGCCATTTTACAAACGGAGACACTGAGACGTGGGAAGATGAGCTGGCTTGGGGCCATGTTGTAGACCCTTCTAGCTGTGGTGTCAAGTGTGGTGTCCTTTAGCAGAGAGGAGACAACAGGGCTTTCTCTGGGGAGAATGAAAGTTTCTGCCTAAATGTACTCAAATCGAACCCACTTGGGTTGTTGAAAGATGGCAGGGCAGGGAGCAGAGAGGCAGAACTGGAACAAGACAACACCATTAACGTGAGACTGAGAAAAGATTAACATGAGACTGAGAAAAGGGACATTGGCCCTTATTAGAATAGTGAGGTGGAGGGAGGGAGATGAAAGCAGCAAACCCACTAAGGGTGGCAGGTGCCAAGCATGAGGACTGAGCTCAGAGCCATGGCAGCAAAAGGATCCTTGGGCTGAGAGCCAATTTCCCAGGGGGCCTCCTTGCTACCTCCCCCCTACTGTCCCCTAATGAAGTGCATGTAGGAGCTTTCTGGGCCTGGTACTATGCTGTGCCTTTCTCTGTCTTCTAGGATGCCAACCAAGAGATGGGCGCTCTGGCCTACTCTAACCTGGGGGTGAAAGATCGCAAAGCAGTAGCCACCCTGCACTACCCCGGGGTAGCCTCGAATGGAACCAAGGCCAGTGGGGCTCCCGCTAATTCTGCGGGATCTCCACCTCCAATAGGTTCTCCTACCACCACCCCTCCCGCTAAACCCCCACCCTTCAACCTGCACCCTGCCCCTCACCTGCTGGCCAGCATGCAGCTGCAGAAACTTAATAACCAATATCATGGGGTGGCTGCTGCCAATCCAGGCCAACCCGGGGAGGCAGGGCCCCAACAAAACTGGGGCATGGAGGCTCAGGCAGGAGGGGCGGAGTCACCCGCTCCTTCTGCCGGTGCCCAGAGTCCTGCTATCATTGATTCTGACCCAGTGGATGAGGAGGTGCTGATGTCACTGGTGGTGGAACTGGGTCTGGATCGGGCCAACGAGCTTCCGGAGCTGTGGCTGGGGCAGAATGAGTTTGACTTCACTGCAGACTTCCCATCTGGCTGCTGATGTCAACTGTCCTAAAAATGGAGGAATAAAGCCACCAATTCTGTTGTAAATACAAATAAAAGTTACTTGCAGAGAGATGGCATGATTGGAGGTGTTTTTCATTGAGGTCTAAAGGTGTGTGGCCTGGCCTGACATCCTTTTGGCAATTCTGAGGCCCCTAGTGGGGTTGTGGGTGGATAGCTGAGCGGGAGCTGGGTGGGATGAGAGGAATGGGGGAGCCTGGAGGGGACTGCTCAGCAAATTCCTGCTGCTGCCGCCACCACCATTATCTCTTCAGGAGCCCTCATTACCCTAAGACCCCAGGAACATTATCCTATATTCGAGGTTGAGTACAGGGGCTGGTTGGGGGCATTCTCGGAAGAAAGACTGACCCAGACCCTTCCTCGGCCTCTTCTCCACTTGCACATTCAGGTCTAAAGAGTTGCCCTGGCCACATGGCACACAGTTCACCAATCCTAAAAGCCACCCCCACCCACTCTCTAGCCCCAGTCCAAATGACCCATTAAGGTTACCCCTTTGCCCTTTTCCCTTTGACCTACGTGGAATCCTATGACCTGGGAGGTCTGAGTTCTCTGGAAAATTAGAAAAGCTACAGACTCCCACTAGGATCCAGGTGCTTTCTTCCAGTCCCTCACATTTGCTCAATCCCTCCCTCCAAGCCTGGCCTGAGGATCTCCTGACTCTGGCCTCCCAGGCCCACCCTGTGTGGTGACAGCCTGTTTATTAGGGCTGTCCTCCATCTTAGAGATACAGATCAGGGCTGGAGATATAGCCTTTGCCCTTAGATTAAGTGCTGAGGGAGCAGTGGCTTCAGAAGCATGCCAAGTGACAAGACAGTAGTACTAAAACTGGATCCTGGCGTGGAGTAGGGGGATAATTCAACCCCGTCCTCATGTTGACACAGCCCAAGAGTCTCCTCTACCCATATCTCAGACTCCCAGAGACATCCTTCCTTGGACATTGTGAAAATTACTTGAATCAGCCCAGGACTAGCACGAGAACTGTCCTCCAGTGAGCACTTTGAAAGGAGCCTGCTGGCAGAGGCAAGGCACTGGACTCGGCATTCCCTGAGCACCTACTCGGGGCCAGGCACTCTGCTAGGCATGGGAACATGAATTAGGTAAAGCCCGTACCTTGGAGTGGTTCCTCACCTAGAAGGAGAAAGAAATTACACAGTATTACCTATAACACTCAGGGAAAGTGCTATTCGACACCAGGAAAGGAAACAGCTCCATCTGCCTGGAAAATCTGGGGAAGGCTTCCTGGTACTAAACCGGTTGGTTGGTTGGTTTTTACTATCTCACAAGTAGTAAGCACATGGCACAAACTCTGTGAAAAGTAGAAACCTTACAGGGAAGTTAAACCCTTTGACCAACTCTGTCCCTCAATCTCGATCACCTCTGGTCCTGCACAGAGGTAGCAACTATTTATCTGGTTGTGGTGCATCCTCGCTGACCTTGCTCTGTGCCTTTATACTAAGACACATCTACCCACAAAAACAATAGGGTTTTAAAATAAGACTAGAGCCAGCCAATGAAAGAATGAGTAATGGGATAAGCCGTTATGCAGGCCACAAGTTTGTGAAAGGGGCAGTGGTGGCTAAAAATCAGAATTTTTCTCTTCTTCTAGGCCAAGTGAGGAACATGCCTTTATCCTTAGTACCACCAGCCCTGTAGCTTGTAGAGAATCTCTGGAAGTTTGTAGGAAAGCAAAGAATTAACCAACTTTGATTTTTAGGATGATTCCACTGAAGGTGGACGGTTAGACTTATCTAAGCTGCAAACAGGGAGAAATGGGTTCTGAGGGATAGAAAACTGAAGAGAGGAAAGAATGGAAGCCTGGGAGAAGTGGAGAAAACAGAGGAGGCTGGAGGGCCTGGAGGTCTTTATGCAGAGAAGAGATCAGGACTGGGGGAGGCAGGAAGTGAAGGGGAAGGGGGACGCTCTGGTCAGCAGGTGGGTTTCAGAGTCTGGACAATCTAGTGACACAAGGCAGGGGTGGGCTCAGGAGTGGGGTCTAAAGCAGAACAGCAGGATGTGGAAGGATCTAGACCTTTGTAAAAGGCTGGAGGGTTCTGGGCCCCTCCCCAGCTGGGACCTTCACAAAACATGATTCTGGCCAAACAAAATAGGTCAGCAGGCTGGAATGTTTGCCACCTTTGACCTTTAGAGCCCCTAGGGTATCAGAAGTCCTTAGGGTGGGGAAAAGCGCAAGCTGGAGGTCAGTGCCTCTCAGGGGGAAGGGTAGCCTTGGAATCACAGAAGTGACAGAAGGGCAGCTGGGAAGCAGGTGGTGGCAAGAAATGGCCTGGATATCCTTAGAGAAGGTGCTTCTGAAGGAAGAGGAACAACAAGAACTTGGGCATGGCAATTCTGCCTCCTGGTGCCAGGGGCCTCAAGTGTGGCCAACTGAGCGGCCTCGTCTCCAGAGGGCTTGGAGGGAGAGGAAGGCAGGGAGCAACCTCCAGGGAGAGCGAGCCTAGACTGAGCTGGGGTGAGGAGTGGGAAGGTGTGAGGCAGTAATTTTTTTATTGCTGGAGAAGGGGCCAGAGGGACAGAACTGTCATAGGATCCAGGGGCTGGGGGGAGGATGGCAGGGAAGCCTCTGTCCCTGCCCCACCATTTCATATTCAGGCATCTCATAACACAACTGGACATGTCCAGTAGGTTATCAGAGTATTTCTGAAGCCAACTCCAAGTCTCTCCCTGGGGGCTAGGAAGCAAGGGTCCCAGATGCACACAAGTAAGGAACACTGCCTGCCTTCAAGGAGCTTGTAGCCTAGAAGCAGATGAAGATGCATGACCAAGAACGCCTCCAAGACACCAGGTACTGTGCTGCTCCCTAGGGTCAAATGAGGCAGACTGTCTCTGCTCTCAAGGAACTCACAGTCCAGCGGTGGGGACAGCCATGCATGGGGGGAGAGAGGAGTGGGCATGGCACAAATGAAAAGATCCGGGCATGGTGTAAACCAGAACCAAGCATTAGAAAACCTATGGCTTTGTCAGGGAAGGGTGGAAAATCCAGGAGCTTGATTTTCTTGAAGGGCAGAGGGCAGAGGGAAGATTGAGTTCGAGTCAGATTTTGCATTGTTTCTACTTTATTCCACAGACTAGGGGGAACCTATCATTCAACAAACATGGGTTGAGCACGTACTATGTACCAGGTGCACACTAAGCACTGTAAATACATGATGAGCACATTGCCCTTTCTTTCATGAAGTTTTTTTTAAGATTTTACTTTATTTTTATTTTTTAAAAGATTTTATTTATTTATTTTTAGAGAAGGGGAGGGAGAAAGAGGGTAGAGAAACACGATGTACAGTTGCATCACGCGCACCCCCCACTGGAGACCCGGCCTGCAACCCCAGCATGTGCCCTACACTAGGAACTGAATCGGTGACCCCTTGGTTCTCAGGCTGGCACTCAACCCACTGAGCCACACCAGCCAGGGCGATTTTAATTTATTTTTAGAGAGAGGGGAGAGGGGAAGGGAGGGAGAAAGAGAGAAACATCAATCAGTTTCCTCTTGGCACACCCCCAACCAGGGACCAGCAGGCAACCCAGGCATGTGCCCTGGCTGGGAATCGAACCAGTAGCCCCTTGGTTTTCAGGCCAGCACTCAATCCACTGAGCCACACCAGCCAGGGTGCTTTCACGAAGTTTAAAGTTTAGCAAGGAGATAGTCAACAGTCAAATATCATGCAGATAATGACAAATTATGAGAAGAGACAGAAAGAAAAGGTACAGGTGCTATGAAAGAGTGTAATGGGGGGATTAATTTCAATTGTAGTATATAAGGGAGGGCTTCCAAAGGTTTTAAATAATGGAGTTCAGTGGTTAGAGCTTGCATGAAGAAAATGAATCAGGTGTGTGTGGCAGATCAGAATTATGGTGATGCTAGAGAGCTGTTACAGTGGTCCAGGCAAGAAGTTATAAAAACCAGAAATTAGTCCATGATGAAAAGGTAGCATTTCAATGGGGGGTTGTTGTTAACTGAGTATAGAGTTTCAATTTTGCAAGATAAGTTTTAGAGATCTGTTGAACAACAATGTGAATAACAACACTACTGAACTGTACACTAAAAATGGTTAAGATGGAAAATTTTATGTTAAGTGTTTTTTAACCACAATATTTTTAAAAGGAAGCATTTCGAAGTAGAGAGGTAATGATGGGCTATTCAATAAATGCTTTGGGACAACTGGATACACTACCTTACAATTTACACAAAAATAAATTCCAGATGGAGCAAAGATTTAAAAATGAAAAGTGAAACTATAAAAGTACTAGAAGAAAATATGGGAGGATTTAAAAAAATCTTTGAATGTTGCCCTGGCTGGTGTGGCTCAGTGGATTGAGTGCCAGCGTGTGAACTAAAGGGTCACTGATTTGATTCCCAGTCCGGGCACATGCCTGGGTTGTGGGCCAGGTCCCCAGCTGGAAGTGTGCAAGAGGTAACTGATCAAAGTATCTCTTGCACATTGATGTTTCTCTACCCCTCTTTCTCCCTCCCTCCCCCATCTATAAAAATAAATAAAATCTTTTTAAAAAATGAGCAAATAATACCAACAAATAATATCAAAATTAAATACAGAAAAAGAAATTAAAATGGCTTTAAAGCTTATCAAAAGATGCTCACATTCACTCATACTAAAATAGTATTTTCAAACTACACTAGGGAACTTCTAGCTGCAGAACAAGATGACATAGACTCACCTTTCCCTGCTCCTCTCCTTCATATACAACCATATTCCTAGAAATTATTCAACAGATAATGATGAAAGGACTCTAAAACCAGAAAAGAGGTGGACTGTCTAGGAATTTCAAAACTTGAGAAATGACAACAGGGTGAGTTCCCTTGGGTTTCTTTATATCTCTCATACACCCTTACCCTGAGTGCCAAAGATACCTGCAACCCAAAACTACCACCACCAACACATTCTCTCTCTCTCTCTCTCACACACACACACACACACTCACACACACATGCACACACACACTACTGCCTGGGAAAGGAAAAGCCCAACAGAGACCTAGTATGGGGAACTAAGTTCACTCCACAACCCAAACCC